GTGTTTGGAATCACCTGCTTCGTTTTAAGGTGGTAAAACAAATTGCTTTTATTTATTCCTTTCTACACACTTTGCAGATTATTAGAAGATGAATGAGACGTTTTGTTGGACCAGAAACTGTTAAAGAAAACTACCAAAATAAGGTCAGTTAAATGAACCATATTCCTCCGAACTTTAATTCCTAAAGGTTTGCTTTTTATGTTTTGATGTTGAATTCACTTTTTTGACGGCAAATTTGGGTGTACTGTTTTTTTTATGTTGGGGGTGCGGCTTATAGTCCGGTGCGGCTTATAGTCCGAAAAATACAGTATATATATTAGCTCAGCGCTAGCACGACAAACAAGCTAAACTGCGGTCCTCCATCTATATTTTCAGTCCAAGTCCAAATGTAACTTTTAGTCAAACATATTTGCTGTAAAAGCTTTCAGTGAAAAAAAAACATTATTTTAGTTTGAAACAATAGTGGTTCAGTCCAAATGCAGCCACCATCAACAGGAAGTTATCAACTTGTCACACAGGTGCAGGTTACTGTGATGTGTGCTGGATTTGTCACAGTTCTGATCCAGATTCATCAGAAGGCTTCTCCATTAGGAGACATCTTCACTGACCCCAGAGAGCTTTTGTATCTAATGAAGTACCTCACGTTACAACTCTGCTGCTAAATTATTCATCTAAAACCCCCTATCCAGGGACTAATCAGAAGATGGACACTGAAGGGAAAAAATAATAATAAAATAAAATGAAAGCAGTCTCCTCATCATTCCCAATTCATCACCTTTTTTTCCATATTGCCCCACATATCAGAGAGAAAATTCACCTAATCAGATTTATGATTTATCCCATTTAAATTCAGCCGACTTTCTCAAACGCTGAGAGATGGTGGGTGGAAACGAGAGGCTGACAGAGAGGAGACAAAGGTGCAATTTACAATCTACAGAAAAAAGACACCAAGTGTGGGTGACCTCGATTTGAATGAATAAAGATTGGCTCCTCTAATCTTCCACTACTGAGGCATTTCTAATGAGCATAAATTATTAAACAGTTAAGGTGGCAAACTCAGAATCTCAAGGCATCTTGGTTTGATCTCCTATTATGAAAAAAAGGTGAGGTTTCAGAGTTGATAACAGTTATACAGAGGTAAGATATCAAACCATTATGCTCTCTTTGCTACGTTTGGTCAATTATTACCATTTTTATAAAAAGAAAAAAACAAACCCTGATTGTTTCCTTTTCAGTTATTGTAATAATACCATTTAAACAACGTTTATCCTATTAAGAATATTTTCATTTAGTAAAAGAACAAAAGTTTGTTTTTATCGCCGTCTGACAAAATCTAACAATGGGAACATTGGGCCTCATGCAAGAACCGTTGGTACGCACAGATTTGTTCTTAAATTGTGCGTACGAGTGATTTAGGAGAATTTGTGGCATTCACCAATGTTTTTGTATTCTAAGATTTTTTTCAGACACGAATATAATTCACGTGTGGTCCAGACCTATTGTATATTTTACGTGCAGTCAGTCTGCTGTTATCCAGACGGGTTTTCCTCCATAATAATTTTATAT